AAAAAAAAAAAAAAAAAAAAAACGCCAACAGACTTGAATTTTCGATTTTTCAAAAATTCAATCCGACTTAAATAAAAAAAAATTAAACTCAACCCAACTCTTAGGGCTTGGACTAATAGCTTAAATTGATGAGTTTTTGGATCATAAATGTGATATCCACATCTATTGGAGAAAGGAAAGAGCACCAACGCTTCGAAGGACATGGATCATGAGATTCCACACAGAGGATTGAGTGCTAGTGATGATGTTAGGCTCCAAAGGAAGTTGATTGTGAAAAAAACGAGTACCAACTAGGACTAGTGGGTCTCAAATAGGTAAATTGTGAGATATGATATCGACCCGAAAGAAGAAAAAAAAAATCATTTTTGTTTATATTAAAAAATGTCTACTTCAAAATATTGACAATAGTCCAATTTGGAGGTGGTAAAATTCTCGTGTCTATAGAATAGAATCGGTAATTACATCTGTTCCGCAGAATAACGTGGATGAGTGGGTCCCACGAGGTAGAAACAAAAATGGACGGTTTGGGTGGGATCTAATCATGAGGTGGAGGACACAGGATCGGATTAATATGAAGGGGTCAGATTCATTCATTTCATCGTGTTTAGGAAGAGGTTGGGTGGGAGTGACGTGGCAAGTGCTTCAAGGTTGATTTAGGAATTTAGGATCACTCGAAAAATAAAAAAAATAATTTATAGAAATTATATTTTTTTATAAATAAAATTAATATTTATTATTATTCCGGTTTGTTCGTTGCCGTCTATGGAATTTAAAGTTGAGAAGGAAGCTAATAGGTGGTAGGTTTTATTTATAGGGGCTCCCTATTATAGACACGTTATCCATATAAACACTTTTTAAGATTCCATTTTTAATTTTTTAATTTTTTTCCTACTTTAATAATATTGAATATAATTTTTAATTCTTAATCTCTTTAATTAATTTATTTTTTCCACAAAACATTATCTATTTTTTTAACTTAAAAATAATTAAGTCTAATTTATTTTATGAAATTTTAAAAAATAATGTCTCTTTTGGTAAAAGGCCCCAAAGACACAGATTCGTCGGATCAAAAGCGAGGCAACGCCTGCAGATTGGACACGTAAGTCATGGCGCAAATTCCAAAAGGTTCTTACCAAACCTATACCCTTTTCCCTCTCTCGTTTTCAGTTGCCGCCGTTATAAATAATTCCATATCGCCAATCCAACAATCACTTTCCTCTTCTACCGAAATCGATGCCGGCCGCCTTTGTTCTCCGTCGGTGCCGCTGCTCTCACCGTCGCTTCGTGATTCTAGGTATTGCGTTTACGGAGTATTTCCTGATTTTGAATTTCGCGATCTGTGATTTACTGGAACGCATCATTTTTGTTGATCCGAAGTTTAGTTGATTCGATCTAATAATGTTACGGCTGATTGATTGTGGTAGTCGATGGTAGTTGATGATCGGAGGGAGATGAACTTACCGATTGTTCTTCTTCGAATTTGATTCTGGTTGGAGGAATTATGGAGCGGGATTTGAACTGTGTCTACTTCCGAAAGAATCGCTTTCATCAGGTTCATTCTTCAATCTGATCTGATCTGTTTTAATTGCAAATTTGCGAGTCTATTTGTGATGTGATCGAGCAGAGAAAGTAAGAGAGTAAGGTTGCAAGTTTTTGTGATTCTTTTTTAACAGATTAATTGGAAGATTCTTAAATATCTGGTTGTCAAATGCTTCTTACGGGTCGAATTGAAAGACACCTAATTTTAGAAAATATTTCTCTCTCAAATTTCTCACCATTTTCTTTGATCATCAAGTTCATAAATGAGCTTTTCCTCCTAAATCTTAATTATATTTGGATTCTATTTTTTCTTAACTTTTATTAATTTAACTATTTTTAAAATTTTTATTTTCTATTTTATTTTTAAATTTCAAAACTAAGTTAGAAAATAATTTCAAATAATTTTGAAATTTAAATAAAACTGGTTTTTATTTAGATCCTCTTGAAATTAGTTTTTAATTAATTTTTCAAATTCCACATCAATTTTACTATTATTTAATAAAAATTATATTTAAAAATTAAAAATTCATTCTGACCAGAGTCCCAACCCAAAATTTAATTATTAAAATATTATTTTAATCAAAATTCAAAATTATTCTTACATTTATTTCAATTTTTAAAATTTAGAAATTTATCTGTATTTCTCTCCCATCATTTTTACCTCTCTATTAAATTTATTTTATTTCTTTTTAAAAAATTATCTTCAAAATTATTCTTATATTTATTTTAAAAATTTAGGAGTTTATCTGTATTTCTCTCCAATTTTTATATCTTTCTATTAAATTTATTTTATTTCTCGTAGAGAAGTCATTCTATTCTATTTTTTTTCCTCTCTCAACTTTTCCCACTCTTTTAGTTTTTAATGTTTCATCGTACCAAAATAATTTTTTAAAAGGTAGAGTCGAATACTAAAATAACTTTTTATCATTGTAATTATGATTAAATTATTTTTATTTAAAAACATATATTCTAAAATCATGTTTTTATTTTTAAATCGATAAACTTAAATTAAAATATTATAATGAGATTAGATTAGATATTTATATAGTTATAATATGAATTATATATATTATTAAATAAGATTTGAGTAGGTCTAGTACAAAGTGAAAATATTATATTAATCCTAGGTTAGGACCGGAGAAGAATAGAATTTTTTATCACAAATATTTTTATATCACTCCTAAATTAAAATAGGGATCTTATTATAATTTATTAGAATTAAAATAATTTCATTGACTAGAAATGACCATAACACAATTATTAATGTATTAATGACCATTTTTTTAAAAATTAAAACGCATAACAAATATAATATACTAATATAATTTTTAATTAACATTGATGATAATAAATTATCAAATTTTTTTTGTTTTATTTCGATAAATTATCAATTTTCTTTGTTTTATTTCGATTTATTTTATAACATTTTTTTATTTTAGAAAATAACAACTAATTAAAATAAATGTAAACAATATTTGAATATGTACTTTAAAAAATTATATTTGAATAATTTGTTTATCAATACAATATATTTAAGGATGAAAAATTTATGCAAAAAAATTGTATCAACATTATTAAAATTCAAAATATTAATTTTATTACTTTCTTTTTTTAAATTATTTATTTTTTTTGCTTGCACAGCTAAACTATCTATTAATAAATCAATTTTGGAAGATTTTTTTTGTTTTCTTACCCAATTTTATGTTTCATTTTTATATTAATATACATAATAATGTCTTTTCATAAAATAAATTTTGTTATTTTGGATTTTTTTTAATCTTGATAGCTAAATAATTTAATAGTAAATTAATAGAAAAAAATAAGAATCCAAAATATTCTCAAATATTAACGAAGTTTTACTTTTAAAATTTTAAAATTAATACGGTAATGTTTTTCATTTCACATTTAAAAAAAAAACAAAACAAAAATGAACTCTATTATTTTTCAAAATTTTAAAAATCTGTGAAATGAAGAATATGAAAATTTAAATTTTGTATATTAATTTCATAAAAAAAAAATTGACCATAAAAGGATTCTTGGTTTCTTTCTTTCCCTCTCTCTTATTTTTAAACAAATAAATCTCACACCACAAATAACCCTACAATTAATCCCAACCCACAAAACAACCAATTCAAACTCCCTACCAAACTGTTTAAAAAGGCAATCTCCCTAACAACAAACCAACTCACCATGGCTTCTCTCCCTCTCTTCATCCTCATTGTGGTCTTCACTCTCCCATCGGTCTCCCTTGCCGTCACGAAAGCTGAAGTTTCATATCTCATTGGCCGTCAACTTTTGGCTCTAAGAGAACACGATGAACTCCCAGATGACTATAAATATGATGCTGAAATTGATCCTCATGAAACTTTCATAAATGAGAGGTTGAAGAAGGCTTTTGTTGCCCTCAAAGCTTGGAAATCTGCCATATATTCTGACCCAAATAACTTCACTAAAAATTGGATTGGCAATGATGTCTGTCTTTATAGGGGCGTTTTTTGTACTACGGCACTTGATGACTCCACCGTTGAGGTTGTGGCTGGCATTGATTTGAATCATGCTGATATTGCAGGCTACTTGCCACCCGAGCTTGGACTCTTGACAGATTTGGCTTTGTTCCATATCAACTCTAATAGATTTTGTGGGATAATTCCTCGTAGCTTTTCTAAGCTGACTCTCATGTTTGAGTTTGATGTCAGTAACAACCGCTTCGTTGGCCATTTTCCAGAGGTTGTCTTTCATTGGCGTATCGCTAAGTTCCTCGATCTTAGGTTCAACGACTTTGAAGGAGAAGTCCCACCGGCACTCTTCACTATGACCTTCGACGCCATATTCTTAAACAACAATAGATTCAGTTCCTTAATCCCGGATACCATTGGAAACTCCACTGTCTCTCTTGTGTCCTTTGCGTACAACTACTTCTATGGCTGCATTCCCAGTTCTATCGGCCAAATGAGCAGCCTCAATCAGGTTCTCTTTATTGGCAACAAACTCCATGGCTGTCTCCCAGTCGAGATTGGAACACTTGTCAATCTAACGGTGCTTGATATCAGCAATAATAGCTTTCCTGGCTGGTTGCCCACATTGTCGGGGCTTAAGAATTTGCAGAGTTTGGATGTTAGTTACAATGAACTTAGAGGCTCTGTTTCTGGGGAGATATGCAAATTGCCTCATTTGCTTAACTTTAATTTCTCCTTTAATTATTTTGATGGGCAAGATGCAGAGTGTGTGACACCTAAAGATTCAAAAAAGATTTTTGATGATGCTCATAATTGCTTGCTTAATCGCCCGGGGCAGAGAGATGCTGAGACTTGTAGCTCTTTTATGATGAAATCGGTGGAATGTAGAAATTGTGGTGAAGATCCTACTACAAGGTCTCCAGTGGTGGTTCGTACGCCGATACCAACTCCAGAATCTCATCATGCAGTTCCATCCTCACCTCATCATCATCATGTAGTTCCACCAACTCCAGAATCGAGCGACACCCCGGTTCCGCAAGTTGAAACTCATCAACCTGCAGTTCCACCGTCGGTTCCGCAAGTTGAAACTCATCACACTGCAGTTCCACCGTCGGTTCCGCAAGTTGAAACTCATCACACTGCAGTTCCACCGTCGGTTCCGCAAGTTGAAACTCATCACACTGCAGTTCCACCGTCGGTTCCGCAAGTTGACACTCATCACACTGCAGTTCCACCGTCGGTTCCGCAAGTTGACACTCATCACACTGCAGTTCCACCGTCGGTTCCGCAAGTTGACACTCATCACACTGCAGTTCCACCGTCGGTTCCGCAAGTTGAAACACATCACACTGCAGTTCCACCGTCGGTTCCGCAAGTTGACACTCATCACACTGCAGTTCCACCGTCGGTTCCGCAAGTTGACACACATCACACTGCAGTTCCACCGTCGGTTCCGCAAGTTGAAACACATCACACTGCAGTTCCACCGTCGGTTCCGCAAGTTGAAACACATCACACTGCCGTTCCACCGTCGGTTTCCACTGCCGTTCCACCGTCGGTTTCCACTGCCGTTCCACCGTCGGTTTCCACTGCAGTTCCACCGTCGGTTTCCACTGCCGTTCCACCGTCGGTTTCCACTACCGTTCCACCGTCGGTTTCCACTGCCGTTTCACCGTCGGTTTCCACTACCGTTCCACCGTCGGTTCCGCAAGTCGAAACTCATCACCATGCAGTTCCACCGTCGGTTCCGCAAGTCGAAACTCATCACCATGCAGTTCCACCGGCGGTTCCGCAAGTCGAAACTCATCACCATGCAGTTCCACCGGCGGTTCCGCAAGTCGAAACTCATCACCATGCAGTTCCACCGGCGGTTCCGCAAGTCGAAACTCATCACCATGCAGTTCCACCGGCGGTTCCGCAAGTCGAAACTCATCACCATGCAGTTCCACCGGCGGTTCCGCAAGTCGAAACTCCATCATCCTCAACTACATCCTCACCTCTTCCTCCACCAACTCCAAAATCGGGCGAACCCCCTATACCACAAGTTGAAACTCCATCATCCTCGGATACATCCTCACCTCCTCCACCAACTCCAGAATCTGGCGAACCCCCTGTTCAAGTTGAAACTCCACCATCCTCAGATACATCCTCACCTCCTCCATCAACTCCAGAATCTGGCGAACCCCCTGTTCAAGTTGAAACTCCACCATCCTCAGACACATCCTCACCTCCTCTTCCACCAACTCCAGAATCGGGCGAACCCCCTGTTCCACAAGTTGAAACTCCACCATCCTCAGACACATCATCCCCTCCTATTCCACCAACTCCAGAATCGGGTAAACCCCCTGTTCCACAAGTTGAAATTCCACAATCCCCAGTTCCATCCTCATCTCCTCTTCCACCCCCTCCGACCACATATCCACCGCCACCCGTCTACTCCCCACCCCCTCCGACTGCGTCTCAACCGCCACCCGTCTACTCCCCACCCCCTCCGACCGCGTCTCCACCGCCACCCGTCTACTCCCCCCCACCTCCGACCGCGTCTCCACCGCCACCCGTCTACTC